GGTACCAAGATTCAACTTAAGTCTTACTTAAGAAGACGGTTATGAGTTCGAATCCTAGGGGATGTGATAGAAAGCTGTGAGGGGTAAGTGGACACAAGGCCCACCCAAAGCGGACAGTATGTAAGCTAACGGCTTAGGTATAGAGACCCGGGTCGTTACAAAAAAATGCATGTTTTTTTATAATGACCCAGTTCTCTGTACCCAAGCCGTTAGCTTACGTACTGTCCGCTTTGGGTGGGTCTTGTTGTCCAATTGGTACTAAGATTCAACTTAAGTCTTACTTAAGGGGAAGGTTATGAGTTCGAATCCTAGGAGACACGATAGAAAGCCATGAAGGATAAGTGGGTGCAAGGCCCATTCAAAGCGAACAGTACGTAAGCTAACGGTTTGGGTACATAGACTCGAGTTGTTACACAAGTAAATATCCTTAGATATGCTCCAGTTCTGACTAACTGAGCTCGAACCTATCAATACCTCCTAAATACAGTAAAATGAACGCAGCATTAGACTATACATAAAAAATATTACTATACTTAAAGAGATAAAAAATGTAACTCACTGGCTTCGCTGTATGAGGTCGAAATTGTCACGTGTCGCCCTCACACACCTGTCACTTTTCCCTTGTCAAAACCACGTCTCCTTCCATCCTTTGATGGAGGAGTGAAGGCCTATGACAAAGGGGGGGACATAAGGAATACCACCCTTTGGAATCTCCTTTTCCTAAGGATCTAGGTTTGAATAAGGTCTGGAATATATGGAGGGGCACATCCTTGCCTAAGGAGGTCTCCGTCCACAGAAAGTAGGACCCCACTAGTTGGCCCTATGCATTGGGAACGAACTGGGTGGGAACCAGTCCGTATAACCTAAGGACAGCTCTAAAGAATGGGTGCAATGGAAGTCGAAGTCCTACTTTTAAAAGAAACTCACTAATAGATACACACCTCGACTTTGTATAACAGGCTCGCATATCAAGAGAGGGGGCTAATAGTTCTATGTCGTAAGCGATGTGGCATTTTTCTCTCACGTTCATCAAATAAGGGACATCTGCAATGGATTGAAATTTTTCAGCCTCCAACCCTCACCTTCAGACCCTCTCCAGCAATTGGAAAACAACTTCGATCCGTCTAAATAGGTCCTAACCAGGTCAGACGTACCTATGATCTCTATCCCCATCTCAACGCCCAGTCTCCTCACATCTACCTCCTCAGATGATGATGATGCCATGAGAGTTACAAAACTTACCAAAAAAATTTTGTGATATTTACAAACAAACAAAATTTACTCGAAAAGAGCACAAGATTTCTCAAAATCTAAAAAGCTGAGAGTGGAAAGAAGATGATAAAAGCACAGAGACTGTAAAGAACTCAAGTACACAACACCAAGGCAAAAGTGAAAATTGATTTTCGCCCAATCTCCCTCCCTTTATAAGCAAACGACCTCAGATCCTGACCGTTGAATTCAAAAAATCCGATCTCTCAGCTGTCAATTTCACAATTAAATCTGAGCCACTCACAATACCTTCCGTTTTGTATATTTCAAAGGCTCAAATTCCACGGTATCTCTCACTCGTGCCATTTCTCCGGGGGAGGAGAGAGGAGCCACACCCATAACTTTCATCATTGGGCATTTAATGTGCAGACGATTATGTGCATCTAAAGCTCATCACCTGGGCACATTCCCATCTTACAACCTCAGAGTACATGAAAATCGGTTCAGTCAGATCCTTTTTAAGATATGGCTTCCAGGTCGCCCGTTTTACTATAAACTCTAATTTCCACATAAATGTTTGCAAATTAGACTTGGAGAACTACATTATTGCACACAGAATTTTCAAAGTTGATGAAATATAAATTCTATATATCGCATGAATGACTATACATAGACTTGGGAGACTATTGTTACTAGTCGTCCACATGGAAGCTCTATGTTTTTACACGTGGCATTAGGTCTACAGAAGCATGAAGTCATAGGAGTAAGTGTCTGAGGTTATTGTATTCAATGCTAAGGTTATTTCACTAGGGCCGAAGTGGTCCTAGCCTTATGCGTCCGAGTGGGTTCAATTCTTGTAGTCGAACTCCCTAACCTCCCGAAGTCATAAACAATCAGAAGAGGTTTTGGCAAGCACATCTCTGGAGTTGATTGATGCAAAATTCCCATTTAATAAGTGTCAGGAATGTCTCTCTAGGCTTGTAGGATGACTGACCTCTTGTAAAAAGTCAGTCAATGTAATTAATTTAAGATAGAGTTGATGTGACACCAGGGGCTAGCGAATCAGGCCACGTGGATCGGACCCAATGGTAACCTTGTCGGCCTAATCACTATAAACAGGCAATTCTTGTATCATTTGAGGAGATGAATCTTTGGAATCAGGAAAAGAGAGGATAACATATTGTCCATCATTTATCCTTTTATTCTTCCACAAATATACATATTTACAACCAATATACTACAAGAACATTTCCACTCATATACTATCTTCTAACAATACTTGTTGGTCATTTTCGAAGGTCAACAACAAGTGTTTCATCAAAGTCAAATGTGTTGGCAGTTTTTTTCTAATTTTCCAATGCTTATGCTGCCATCGAATTATAACTATGCAGAAAACATTTTAATGTTGACCATCCACCCATGGGCATGTATACTCCATACGTGAATCAGAGTCTTCAATTCAAAAAAATAAAAAGATACCTTTTCAATCAATAGTCTAGATAAAGTGACACGTGGAGTGCTAGGACACTAAGCTAATGAACTTTTACCAGGACTGAACTTAATGATAAAGTAGGTCACCTCTGATAGGCTCATGAACTTTGAAGACTTCAGCTTTGGGAAATTAAGAAGTAACTTTAAATAACCAAGTTAAACACTACACACGAACAAGGTATAACGTAAAAACACCTCATATATGATCGTTCAGCTTATTCGTTAAATAACTCCGTATTGTTTTATGAAGACTTATGCCAAATTGTTACAAAGATCATATCACCTTAGAACATTAAGTTACACGTTTAATGACATAACCACTTCATCATCGACCCATTAGAGAAAACTTTCAACTTAATAGCCAAAAACAAACCACTTCGAATTTATAGGGAGGGGCTTGCTTTAGCACTCGACGCACTTAGAATGTTAGGCACGTCATAAAATTATAGTCCCATGTAGAGAAGTGTTGGTCAATTTACGTGCTTAAATGTTTTGAAGTTTTTCCTGATGGAGATGTATATAAACAAGTTGACTTGCTTGGCGAGGAAAGTACTAGTTATTCACATTTTCCCTTGCCGAACTTGTTAAATATATTAGGTTTGTAGTAAAGGTAGATTAGTCATTTTATTTCTCTGCTTGAACCACTTAAGATATTTTTTCCTTGTATTTTCATTCATTCAGTTTATCAAAAAAACCTAACCCCTTGTTTTCCTCTCTATATATTTTTTTTATTATTAATTTAACATGGTAACAAAGCTATCATATCATAAAGTTTGTGTAATAAAGGTTTGAAAAGTTTTGAAAGGAAAATAAATTACTGTCCGCGAAATTAGGGCTTTTGAAAATCAATATGAAATTGGGAAATCTATAGATCGAGGACAATTGGGAAACTGATGGTGAATTGCAGTAAGTGGTCGATCACTTTTCCATAAATTATGAGTGGAATGCCTTGTTAATATCTCTAATCAATTTTTCATATTTATAAGCAAGAACCCTAATTTAAGAGTCTTGCTACTTTTATAAAATTAGTTGACAAAGTTGGTTTACAAAACAACATCTACACCAATCATTTCAAAAATACTTTTTTATATCATTTGAAATCAAAGGCCAAGATTCTGCAAGCACTTGTTTTGTACAACTAGATTAATTGCTAATTTAATTCTACTCCCTCTCTCGAGTGCTGAGTAAAAACCATTCTTAGAATTCCATTCCAATATCTCTATTCCGAATTAAATTTTAAAAATTATCAAGTTCATATTCTTATGTGGAATAAGTTCCAAAGGAATTATACTTTCTCTCGAAATCTAAAGAACCTAGGTTGTGGTATCGTCCTGATCGTGCTTAAATTTTTCTCTCGAGTGCGGGAATTGATAGCATCTAATCATTCAATTAATGGCAAATTAATTGAAAACAGTAAATCAATAACACAAATAAACGAAAAAGGGAAATTTCATAGAAAAAACTGAAATAGAATGAAATCATATCACCAAGTTTTGGTTACATCAATCATTAGATGGAGAGTTTAATTCATGGTAGAAGAAACAAATCTACAAGTCATGATTAATAACATAAAGAGGATGTAGAATAAAAATTCTTTTCAAGCTTGAATTAATCCTCTTTCTCTTAGTTCTTGATTTTTTTTTATTGATTTTCTCCTTCTTGCACGGTTGAATTCTAGTTGAAAGGTGGTTTTTAGGTTGTATTTTTATCATCATAAAGTCTTGAAAGAGTTAGGGTTGGATTGGGATTTAAAAAGAGACCAAAATATTCAAAACCCTTTTCCTCACGCTAGCGGTGCCCGGTGCCACAAGCATGGCACTGTGACGCCACGATGTTGTTTATTTTCAGCATCAATGGCGCTGCGATGCCCACTTTCAGGTAAAAATACAGCACTGTGCATCTTTTATTATTTTTATTATAAAGTTTTCTCCTGACATCCGATTGAGGAGATTGAAAGTGTGTCAGAAAAATAACTCAAAGGACTATAACTCTACTTCTGATAATTTTCTCCAATTCAAACATTCACTATGTCAAAAATGGGACTCAATCTCCGATTAAAAAAGTAGAACACACTTGTGCGATTGAGAATTGATTTGTGAAAATATTTTAATCATATTTCACTTATTTTTTACTTTTAATTGCATCCTTATTACTCCTTGTAATCTTTAATTATTGTTTTGTGGTCCGAATCAATTATTGAAAAGTTGCAATCAAGTGCAACTTTGAATTTTACCATTTTTCATTGTTATTCACCTTTCTTTCAATTTAGCCTCCAATCATTAAGTTTCACCAAATCAACGTCACTTCTCCTTGATTCGTGCCAAAATCACCAAATCACTCTCATCTAACCTATAAAACAAAATGAAAATACAAGTCAAAGCGTTCTAAAATTCTAAGAACAAACAAAATATCAAGAAGATAATATTATAGCAAAAATAGTAATGGAACTCTAAGCGTTAGATTTGGAAATTATAATTATCAAGAAGAACAGAAAAGTATAATGAAGAAGAAAATGAAGGATAATGTGGATAGTCTTCTTCACTTTCTGTTCTGCTTAATAATTATAATTTCCAAACCTAATGTTTAAAGTTCCATTACTGTTTTTGCACATAATATTATCTTCTGGTACTAATATTGGTCTTTCTAGAAACTTTCCTAAATTTCAATCTAATCCTACATTTGTTTGTGAAGAGAATTTCTTTGCTAGGATAGCCTTAATACCTTTTTGTGCTAATAATGTAATTATTTGATTATTTTCTAATTTATAATTAGTACAACTATTTTCTCTAAGTCTTCCTATGAATCCTATGCAAATTAATAAATTATCCTTATCTTTTTTCATTTGATATCTTTCACTCTTTATTCCTATTTTAATGTCGTTATAAAATTTTTTTGCTCTTATTAAATAATCTGGAGTAAAATATACTATTCCTCCTTTGCTATTCATATCTAATTCTATGTTTCCTAATAATCATTGTTCTGTGTCTGTGAAGCTGTTGTCATATAAACATACTAATACTTTAGCTTCTAAATTTTCTCTATGAATTCCTTTTAATTCTATTATTATTAATCATAAATGATTATGTGGAAAAATTTTATTAGAAATACAAACTTTGGTTATTTGTGTCATCTCAATTTTACAAAGTGAACCGGTGATCAAGCAGTCTACTTACTCTCAGATTTTGATAACCCCTTTCAAGTGCCAAAAATTATCTCTTCATATCTTATTTAAACCACCAAAAGATGTTTCCATTTTCTCATGAGTAACACCATAACACATTTAATGCAAATTGAAAACAAATAATTTTTAGTTCGGTTACAAACGTGCCAGAAACACCCTACATTAAATGCTTGGAGTTTAAATAACCTTTTGTCTCCAATTTGTAATAAAATTCAACGTGCTCCTAGCTTATCCTTCAAATAATTTCCAGATTCAAAAGTGCCTTTAGTCTATAGAAAATGGGTAAGTGAAATATATGTGTGTATAATTGTGGTTTGTGTCCACAAAATTATTTCTTTCGATTTAAAGCCACCACAAATGTACGGTTCATTAATAAGTAATAAAGTGGAATATTGAGTTTCAAATATTGTCCCACAAAGATTTAGTAGTTCGAAACGAAACGAAATTATCAAAATTGAAGTTTTAACCTAAGAAAACCCTAATTTCACTAAAATGATCGTTGAATGAATTGACATCACATAGTTCATCAATCTCCTAGTATAAAAATATTTAGCCTAACATGGAGAAGATAACAAAATTCGTGATTTCTTGAAGATAAAACATCACAGGGTTATGAATTCGCGTGAAATCTTGATAATCTTCGTGAAATTCTTCATTACTTTGGCTCAAAATCCTCTCCAAAATGTGTTTTCTTGCCTCCCAATGTGTTCATCTCCCTCGAAATTTGACGAGTCTAGATTTTTATATCGCGTCACAATCGAGTTCCAAAAGAGTTTTAGTGAAAACAGGAAACTGCATAATCGCATCAAAAATTTACACCATGTGACCGCATGGTACAATTGATTTTGGTCCTGGATTCACTGTACCCCCTTGTACGGCTGCATAGATATTCTACCATTCGATAGCATGGTAGAAATAATTTCCATTTTCTATCGTTTTGGTCCCTAAACTCTATTTTCTTGTTCATTGGCCTCCTTTCTTCGTCCATTTTGGTACATCATCTCACAATGATTCCCAATTTATACTTAGCTCATTCAATTTCTCGATTCTTCCTTCGGGTCATCAATTGGATAATTGCAATTTAGTCCCTATAATTAGTGATATAGTATATTATATTAGGTACTTTTTGACCTAATACATGACATATCGTGATTTCGGCCACCAAAAGAGTCAATTGTCTTGTAGAATTAGGTAAACTACCATGTTTGAGTACGAAAAATTTGGCAAACGCATGTAAAATTTAAGGACAACCAATAAATTGAGCCAATTACATGGGAAAGAGAACACGTGTGACTTTATGGCCATCCAAATATTGTGGAAGTGAATTCTGTTATACTATATATCAATATTTCAAGTTGGAAATAAGAAATAAAATAAAATTATAATACACTGCTTAGATAAACACGCATTGCATTAGAGATTTTTTGTGAACATGGAATTCTTGCTTGTCTTCCAACAATCCTTATCACCAATCAAGGTAGGATATCGAAGTGCAGTATTTTTTGTCCCGTTTAATTATTTTTTTTACATGTTGATGAATTTTGTACTCATGAAAGTTAAAGTTATTATATGAAATGCTATGATATGAATGATATGGTTATTCCGGTATAATAATATGATATGATATGAGCTCTTACTAAATTTTAAAGATATGAGACGGTATGATATTCTGACACATATGTTTAAAATTATTAATTAGGGTCGCACCATTAAAATTTTTATATCCTACTGAGTACATCCATGTACTCACCCTTTTTCCCTACATCTCATAGGTTAGATCGGGTCATGTCGAAGCGTGGTGGTTCGATAGTGTGTTTGTGCCTTGTTTTCACTAGATAAAGATCTAAGTTCGCACGTAATTTTATTTATTTTAAGTTTATTACAATAGACATTTATTTATGAATAAATTTTTGTACATCGTTATTTGCAAATGAAAATATGTAATTATCCAATTGATATCCAACAAACCGAATATTGATGTATTTTACATTACTCTATCACTAATTATATGAAATAATTAATTCTAGAAAAAATATTTCGGGACTTTACAATATCCCCTCCTTAAATATTTTCGTCATCGAAAATTACCTTGGTTATTGAGAAATTCTGGATACTTGGTTTTAAGCTCATCTTCTTTCTCCCAAATTGACTCGTTTGATCTGTGATTGCGCCATTGAACCTTGACTAGGAGAACTTCTCTATTTCCACGTTGATGCACTTTTCTATCAAAAATCCTCATCAGGACTTCTTCATATGACAGGTCTTTTTATACATCCAAGGTTTGGTAACTTACATGATTGGAAGCGTGAACAAATTTTCTAAGCATTGAAATATGGAATACATTATGGACGACTGTTAATTCGGGTAGTAAGGTAAGTCGGTAAGCCACACTACCAATCCTTTCAAGAATTTTGAAAGGTCCAATAAACCGCAGTCTCAACTTTTCTTTCTTTCCAAATCTTAATACACTCTTCATTGGTGCTACTTTTAGAAAAACTTTGTCACCTAACTGAAATTTCGGGTCCCTTCTTCTACCATCAGCATAGCTTTTCTGTCGATTATGTGCTGTCTTTATTCTTGGTCCAATTTTATCAACCACTTCAATTGTTCAATGATACTAGGACCTAAAATTTTATTCTCCCCAACCTTGTCCCAAAGGATAGAAGATATGTACTTCCTACCATAAAGAGCTTCATATGGAGCCATGCCTATTGTGGCCTGAAAGCTATTATTGTAAGCAAACTCTACTAATGTCAAATGTGTTTCCCAACCACCGCCAAGATCCAAAACACATGCCCTTAACGTTTCTTCAAGGGTTTGGATGGTTCTTTCTAACAAGCCATCTGTTTGTAGATGATAAGCATACTAAACTTCAGTTTCATCCCCATGGCTGCTTGCAAACTTTTCACAAAATTCGATGTAAATCGCAGATCTCTATCTAAAACAATGATGAAAGAAATTCCATGCAATTTAATTATCTCTCTAATATATAACTGTACGAGTTGTTCCATATTGAAATTTACCTTGATTGGTAGAAAATGGCCTGACTTCGTCAAACAATTAACCACTACCAAAATAGCATTGTGACATCTTGCTGATCTCGAAAAACCTACCACAAAGTCCATTGCTATGTGCTCCCATTTCCATTCTTGAATATCCAAGGCTTTCAATAGTCCTGATGGCCTTTGATGTTCTACCTTGACCTGCTGACAGATAATACATTTCTCTACAAACTGACCAATTTCTCTCTTCATGTTTCTCCACCAAAAGATACCTCGAAGATCCTGATGCATCGTTGTACCTCCTAGATTTGGTGCATATGGGGGTGGAGTGAGCCTCTTCTAATATCTCGTTTCTTAAACTTTCATCCTCAAGAACACATAACCTTCCTTCAAAAGTCAGCATGTTGTCTGCAGATATTTTAAATCCTATACTTTTGTTTGTACCCATCTCAGCCTTAATCTTTTGTGAAAATAGATCCTTATCCTGTGCTTCCTTGATTCGACCCCGAAGAATAGCTTGAATCATGAATGCTTTTATTCTCACTACAGTCTGGTCGGCGGAGTGATGATTTCTAGTTTCAGTTTCTCAAAATCCCTTATTAAGTATTCCTGTATAGTAGATAAAACTGCCAACTATGATCCTATCTTCCTGCTTAAGGCATCTGCAACTATGTTAGCCTTACACCGATGGTAAAGAATTGTACAATCATAATCTTTCACTAATTCCAACCATCTCCTCTGCCTCATATTCAGTTCCTTCTGTGTGAAAAAGTATTTGAGACTCTCATGGTCTGTATAGATTTCACACTTTCCACCATAGGGATAATGATGCCATATCTTTAAGGTGTGAACTACCGTCACAAGTTCTAAGTAGTGTGTTAGATAGTTTTGTTCATATTGCTTCAACTATCTCGAGGAGTAAGAAACCACTTTTTCATGTTGCATCAGAACACAGCCTAAACCTTGCTTGGAGGTGTCGCTATAAATTAAAAACTGTATTGTCAATACAGGAGCTGAGACTAACCTCTACTTGAGTTCTTTAAAACACTTTTCCGTTCACTGAAATTTCAACCCTTTTCTAGGCAACTGAGTCATCGGCCCCACTATTTTTGAAAAACCCTCAATGAATCTCCTATAATCACCAGCCAACCCCGAGAAAGTACGAACTTCACCAACATTGGTTGGTCTAGGCCAATTCGTTACTGCTTCTACTTTAGAGAGGTCTACTTCGATTCTTTGGATGGTAACCACGTGACCAAGAAAACCTACGCGATCAAGCCAAAATTCGCACCTCTTGAATTTGACATATAATTTTCCTTCCTCAAAGTTTTGAGCACTATTCGAAGTTGTTCTTCATGCTGCTTCTTATTCTTCGAGTATACAAGTATGTCGTCAATAAATACTATGATGAACTGGTCTAAATACTGATGGTACACTCGGTTCATGAGATCAATAAATACAGCTGGGGGCATTAGTCAAACAAAAAGGCATGACAGTGAATTCATAATACCCATAAGAAGTCCTGAATGCAGTTTTTGATATATTGCTTGCCCTGATTTTCAATTGATGATACCCTGACCTCAAGTCAATTTTCTAAAACATAGTAACACCCATTAACTGGTCAAAAAATCGTCTACCTTTGGCAACGGGTACTTATTTTGAATGGTCAGATGGTTCAATTCCCAATAATCAATGCACGTTTTCATACTTCCATCCTTTTGCTTGACAAAAAGTACAGAAGCTCCCCAAGGAAATACACCCGGATGAATGAAAGCTATCTCCAGCAACTCCTTTAATTGCAACTTCAATTCATGAAGCTTTTTCGGTGCCATTCGGTATGGGGATTTAGATACTAGTTCTGCTCCAGGAACCAAATAAATTGTAAATTCCACTTGTCTATCTGGTCGAATGCCTGGCAAATCTTTTGAAAACACATCTACATAGTCTCGCACGATGTTAATATCGTTAACAGCCATTTCTATATGTTGAGAACCGATGATGTTAACCAAGAATCCCTAGCATGACTCCTTTCCCAACATCTTCTCCACTTGCATAGCTGATATAAGATGAGGTAGAGACTTGAACTTTGCTCCAAAGAAATGAAATTCTTCTTTTCCTGGTCTGTAAAATAACACATCCTTCTCGTAACATCAAATGGTCACATGATTAAGTCCCAACTAATCCATGCCAAAAATAATATTGAAATCTTCCATTTCCAAAAGGTATAAATCTACCTCCAATATTTTTCCATCAACCACTAACTTCATAGACTTAGTCATCCGATTTGTGCAAAGAGTTTTTCTTGAAGGGATGCTAAACTCTAATTCATTAGTCATTTTCACACATGCATCGTTAGACTTAACGACAAAGGATGTAGAGATAAAGAAATGTGTAGCCCCAGAGTCAAAAAGTACATAAGGTACATCAGATAATAATAGAATACCTGTTTTCATAATTATCATGTTAAACTTAACTACGGATGATGCAAAAATTGAAATCATAAACAGATACTTAAATAATAATTGAATACCTGCTATCACATTTGGATCCCACTCCGCCTCATGCTAGTTCAGTGCGAAAATTTGAGCCTTCCCCTTTTTGTTCTTATCTTGGTCGTCAACTTTCTTCTTTGGAGGCTCAGCACAGTTAAGAGCCATGTGACCAGGTTTACCATACCGGAAATACACGTTCTTCCCAAATAAGCATTCACCCCTATGGAGTTTATTAAAATTAGGACAAGGTGTAATACTCCCACTTGCCCCCACCAATACGAACTCCGGTGCTGGGTCTTTTATTAGGCCAGCTACTTCTGTCCTTACTCTGATCATTCCACTTTCTTTTTCCAAATAACTCCTTACTCTGCTGGGTATACTGTCCAAATGTTGTCCTCTATAAGAAAAGACATGAGCTCTTTCCAACTTTTCACGATATGAAATGAAACGACGGGACATAATGATCATGCTGATCTCTGGGCACAATCCATTTTCAAACCTCCTAATCTTCTTAATTTCGTTATCCACCAAGTGTAGGGCATATCTTAAGAGCTGCTCACACTGCCTTTCGTAATCAGTAAGTGACATGTTCCTAGTCTAAGTTGCAAAAACTCTGATTCTTTGAAGTTTTTTATAGCTTGTAGGAAATATTTTTCTATCACTTCATCCTTGAACTGCTCCCAAGTCAGGATATGTTGCTGCTCTTCCGTCCTAGTATGTAAGACAGATTCCCACCGGTGATTGGCCACTCCAATCAACATGAATTCTGTGCATAGTACATTCTATATGTCTGTACAAGAAATGTGTTGAAAAATGCACTCCAGGCCTCTAATCTATTCCTCAACGGCCGACGGGTTGGAATCACCGTCAAATGTAGGAGGCTTGTACCTACGAAACTATTCAACTATTGAAACTGCTCCAAAATGAATGGAGGTGTATCCTACTGTGGTGACATATTTTTTGGTGGAGGTGCTTGATTCTATTTGGTCAACTCTTGCACCGCTTGCAACAAGTCAAGCATCAAATTTGTGGGGGTATGTGGGGTCATTTCCTAAAATTTAAGTTATTCGTCACACACCAATATTAAATCTAACATTTATACCTATCTATCATAAATTTAGTGAGTCAACAAACGGCATGTCTTGAAATTTAAAGTAGGCAATTTAAATTATTTAAGTTATGCAAAAAGTTTAAATAAATGTATTTTTCTTACCCCTTTACATACCTTAGAGTCGTCGGAGTATGGTCGATTGGTGGTCGTTGAGTGCCAAAATCTCTTAAATTCTTACCTTCTTAATAACTTAAATATATACATTACAATTTTTTTAATTTTTTTTAATAGTCACAATCACATTTACACCATTTGCTCATTAAAGGTCGCCAACATATAATAGTGCATGTACGGCTAACAATTGGTCACATGAGAAATTACAAGTTATCCACATCTCTAAATCTAGCAAGAAGGCCCAATGTATTTATCATATCTCTATATATAGACAAATAGACTGGAAGTTCATAAATATACAATCTTCAATAATTAAGGATGTAAATTAGTATTTATCTTGTACCAATATGACAAGAGATTTAATTAAACAATTATATAAATAAAATATTAAATTAATATATTTTGGCTTTAAATACTGATTGGCCATTTCAAATTCAATATGATCTAATGGTTTTAATGGAAAGAAAATGAAAAGAAAAGAGGGAAGTCACACTTGCATACAAAATTCTTACTCTAGATTCATACGTTAATATGTAAGCCATTAAATATTACGTGAAAGGCATAAACTCATTTGTACACCTTGTAAAATGTAAGAATATTAAACATATTAACTATTACGTGCAAGGATTGTCTAAACTTTGAAAAAGAAAAAAAAAAAGGGTTATCGGGACATATAATATCCAATCCTAAATAAGTAAAATAATACAATCCTATTTTACATTATATTTAGAAACAAATTCACGTCTAATTTACTTTTTTTATTTTTTATTTTTTATTTCCAGGTATTTACATTAATCTACCTGTAAGGTCCAATTAATATAAATAAATATATGATACCACATAGCTTATACATAAGTGATAAGTGATAAAAGAGCGTGTATTTTTTTTTCTTCTTTTCTTTTACTTCACTGTTCAAGTGAACAAAGACATGCACTGTTCACGGTGAACAGTAACATGTCATTTTTTTTAAAAAAATTACCCAGCTATTTATAAATGATTTTACATAGAATACTATAAGCACATAAGGCCGTAGTCCACTGTAATTATCAATTAATATGCAAATTATAAATATAACGTAAATTATCATGTATTTAGATTAGTACATGACATGCATTTATCACAATGCAGTAACTACATATCAAATGAACACTTGCCCTCATCGGAGCATCTTTGGTCCATCAACCACAACGGACAAAATTAGTTTAGAACAATATTTAAACTTCTCTTCTCTTTTCTTTTTCTTTTTTTCTTTTTTCTTTTCTTTTTTTTTTTTTTTTTTTTTTTTTTTTTTTGAGTTTTTTCTCTTCTCTCTCTCTAACCTTTGTTGAAGATGAGGGTAAAACGAGGAATTTCTAATTTATTTATGTAAATTCATTTTTTACTTTTTTTTAATTGTTCAAAGCCGAAAGTGGAAACGTGGCCGAGTCAACGGGCCATTTCCACTTATTTCCTCATTCATCAGTGTCCTTTAGATTGCTGAAGAAATTGAATTCTTGGTTAAACTTTCAAACTTGATTATTCAATCTGCTTCTACTGGTTCAAATGAGTTAAGAGGATATGAGGCAGTGACTGCTTGTGATGCAACATTGATCAGTAGTGGTTGAAGAGGTTGGTGTTTGAGATAGGTTGTGCTGATGTCAATGGGCTGTTGAAAGTTAGGGACGGGGTAGCAATTGTGTGGATATGGCGAGAATCTGATGGTCCTATCTGTAACTGCTAGATGGGAAGGCTAGATTTAGATTGGTGTTGATGTATTGGACATCAAATAGAGGATGACTGTAGAGTTGAAAGGAGATGGCTATTAGAGTG